TATTATTCCCCTTCTAATGTGAAACTGATTAGAATTAAAAATTTCATTAAATTAACTGCTGATATAAGAAAACCATTAAAATTAAAAGTCGTCAATTAATCCTCTTATTTTAAGTTCTATTATCGGCGTCTTAAACCATCTTGTCTTCTTACATACTGATAAAATTAATTTCAAAAAGTTTAGAACTACTCATTTACTTACTTATTTGATTTTGAATAAAAAATTGACTCACTTTCAATGGATCACCCACATTTAATCTATAAAATTTTTTACAATCTTTTGCTTGTAAATCATTTTGGATTATTTAATTCTTTATTATTTTCACCAATCTTTACTACCATCATTAATTGTTATTATCTAACAATTTCTATGGTCTGAAATTTTTTAAAAATTTCTGAATTTTTAATCTTTACAATCAGTAAAATTACGATATGCTGCTGCTGACAAAATGGAAATGTCATCAAATTTCTCGAAGAAATTTTGAAATGTTTAAAGTTAATATATTTTAATTCATTTACTAATTAGCTTTGGCAGTGAAGTATTTTTATTATTTGTTTTGCGCATTCTGACATTTTTTAATTTTTTTAATTTCGCCATTTCTAATTTCAATCATTTTAAACAAATTTGACTTCAATGTTTCCAAATCTATCGCTTAATTAAATTTATAAATGAAGTTGATTGAAACATAATTCATTAATTGAATAATTAATGAACGTACATGGTGATGGAGTGTACTTCCATGACAGAAATATTTGTAGGAGCACTAGAAACTTCTGCAAATTAATATTTGGTTAAATTCAGAGGTGAACCAACATGGAGATATTGAATTTATATTGAAGTGATAGGAGGACGAGTGGTAAGAAAGTTAAAGGGTGTGACATGGTGACAATTTAATGCCCAAATAAATGCTCCATTAAAATATCAAATAGGGATTATGAAACCGTTTATTGGTTTGCCATTATCAATTGTAAATATCATTTAACAGTACGGATGAGGAAAGATTATTTTTTTTTTTTGTAAAAAACGATCAAGAATGATTTACATT